CTTCTACTACTACTACTTCTGCTACTTCTACTGCTACTACTACTTCTACTGCTACTACTACTACGTCTTCTAGTACTACTACTTCTTCTTCTTCTACGACGACTACTACTACTACTACTTCTACTCCTCGACTGCTGCGTCTGCAACGACTACACCTTCTGCAAAAAGCACCGTTCCCGGGGAGCATTTGAAGCCCGAGCCCCTGACTTTTCGACAGCATCTTTCTTGCACGTGTGGAGCCATGTATCGGACTGCCAAAGCAAGCGCAAACGGTAAGCAGCCTAAGCTCCTGCACACAGTTGTTCAGCCTCGAGCCGGCAGGTTATGACTGAGATTGAGACCACTGTCGAGTCGGAGGACGATTCCTATCGGGCCGAGCCGAGACCAGGTGCGGTGCTGTGCTCCGTGACTACAGTGCCTGAGACCCAGAATCGAGCACGTCCACTGAATTTGCAACATTGCGGCGAGCTTCGCCAACAGCGAATGCCTTTACTGATGTGAAGAGAGTCTGAATCCCGGGGCGTCATTCTACCGTCCTCAGGCAGGCAGAGGTGTTTGCTCCCTGGCAGGAGGTGTTCCGCAGGTCTTGCAAAGTTTCGATCCTCTGGGCCACTACCAGATCCTGCCTGGCGACTTCCGGCAAGCATACTTCTCGGATCTGAGATGTGCGGGTAGGTGGTCATATCTTGCACTTCAGCTTGTGCTACATGGTACCGCATGTAAGCTGCATGGAAAGAAGCACATGACTCGTGGCAGTCCAGACAGATTCGGAAGCCGGCAGAGACGTTTGGTAGCAGATCTAGAATCAAGCGCACTGCGCCGTCGGTATGTCTATAAGCCGCAGGCCAAGGCAAGCCATGTTTGTTGCTGCGGCTGCTCAGGATTTCTTGATGACACATCCAATTTCCTGCATCGCCGAGCCTGTGTTCGACCAGGTGGGACAGATGATCAATGGAGTGTTTTACACTTTTGATGCCCTACTGCTGTTGCTGTCGTTTGCTGTTTCTGCTCCTGCTCCACCTGCCAATGCCGAAATAAGTGACGGTAGCACGACACGAATTCGGCAACAACTGCTCCTAACATCCCCTAACACTTCTGCCGGTGTCTTTGCTGCTCCTGCTACGTACGACTCATCCTCTTCAGGCTCATGCTGCTACTGCACAACAGCAACAGCATCAACTTGAACAGCTACTGCTACTGCAGCTGCTGCTGCTGCTGCTGCGGCTGCTACTACCACCACCACCACCACCACCACTACTACCAGCAC